GGCAAAGATGCAAGTTGCAGCCTTTCGAATTCGAGTAGTATCTATAAAATTACTAAATCCACCCAAAAAAATCTCTAAGCACACGCACACGAATTATCCACCACCACCACACGCGCCACGTCAACGTCCCCACTCCGAAACGCCCAGTAACCAATCGCCAGCCCCAAAACGATGGCCACGAACACTCCCCCGTTAAACGACATGATCGCCAGCATAATCATGTACCCGATCGCCGCGTTGACTCCGAAAAGCACGCTCTCCGCCAGCCTCCCTGCCGAGAACCTCCCTCCGGCGCCGCCGAGCTTGGAGCCGATCAGCGGGGTCCGGATCGGCGCGTCGGACGCCGATTTCAAGGAAGACGAGGAGGCCGCGCGCTTGATGCGCACGCGCAGGTCCTCGAGGTACCGGTAGAAGGCAGGGACGAGAAGGCAGGCGAGCAGCGTGAGGGAGTAGCTCGCCCACGTGTCGGTTTTCCACGAGTCGAAGAGGAGCGTTACCTGCCGGCTCCAGTAGAAGGTCATGTGCATCATCTTCTTCGATTTCTAGAGAGAGAAAGTAGAAGCAGCGGATTTTTGGGGGATTTTTGGAGAAGAAGACTTGCCAGAGACGGGCAAGAAATTTAGAAAAATGGATAGTTTGATCCGTTTGGTGTGTACGTTGTTAATTGTTTGGTACGAGATGTGCGTTCGGATGTACCCTTGGAGTTGTTATTATTTACGATTTTGTCTCAGTGGGTTTCTGGACGTCTTTTGATTTTGTATGATTAACAGTGTTTAGAGGGGCTGATTTGGAATTTAGAAAATATGGGGCCCCGCTAAGTATTTGGGCTTGATGGCAATTTTGTCCTAAGAAAAAAAACCCAAAATGCAGTACAAGGATCGAAGATGCTAAAGATTGTACTGCAGACAGTACAATCTGAACAACCCAGACGAAGGCCCAAAACTACCCTTTTCTCTCCAAAAGGGACAACAACTTGTATGGATCGAATTTATCATCATTGTGACATTTTGTTATTATTTATATGTTTTTTTACATGATATTGAATTATTAGATCAGGAGATCACAAGATAGGATTATGGTATTATGAATGTAGTCTCACTTGCTCCAATCCAATATATTCAATCAAAAGCTTCTACATCAAAGGAGACTAGGCCTATAAGTCTTACAATTTGATATGCAGGAAGTACTAACCTAGGGATAGAGATCCACTCTGTATCTAATTGTCCGAAGCTCAAGGATTGGATAATCTGGACTACTCAAAATTGAATTTGATGGTCCCTATTAACTTATTTCGCTAGCCCATCTCACACATATCAATGACTCTTATTTCTCTCTTTCACACCCAAAAGCACATATTTCCTGGTCCTTGGACTCGGGGCACTAAGGTCTAGAAAGGGTCCAACTTTATCTTCCTCTTGCTCTCTTTAGATGAAGCAAATGAAATTATTCAGGTGTATAGTAAATAAAAATGGTACAAAAGAAAAAATTTGAATGATGACTTTCAGCGGATGGGCATCACGAGTGAATTGTAGCTTTGCTCGCTATTGAACAACAAATTTTTCAGTGTATTCGGAACACGGAACAAAACATCACATGTCATTATATAATTAGAGTATAGCACCTCATGTTTCAAGCTTATTGAATTCTCTCCTATTCAACAATCCATGAATTTCTTGATTGTCGAGGAATTTGATTGTCGAGGAATTAAATAATCAATTCATCCATCTCAAACTCATAATCTTTAGAAAAATTAGTACAATACAAAAGACAACATTTGACTGCTGGGGCCAAATCATAATAACTTAAAAAAAATGGTTGAAAAACTTCTTGCTCCACCTCTTCTCGATCCCATATTTTACTATTCAAGACATCTAGCAATTCCCTCCTTGTTTTCTTATTATACATGAGACTAGGGCTGGAAACAAATCCCAAAAATCCCAAACCAAACCGAAAAATTCTCGAAACCAAACCGAAAAAATCCCAAACCGAAATTCCCGAAAATTTCGGTACCCAATACCGAACCGATCCCGAAATTTCGGTACGGGAATCGGTCTCAAGTTTTTGGGATTTCGGTATTCCCAAACCGAACCGAAAAAAAAAATATATTATTTAATTTTTAAATATATATTTAGATTGATAGAGTCCATAGAAAATGAAGGCTTCAATAGTTGCACATATTTCTGTATGAATGATTTAAATCGACAGAGTCTTGCAATTGTAGCATCTACATTTGAATCCAGATTGGCAAAGTCTTGCAATTGTAGCATCTACATTTAAATTGACATAACTTGCAATTGACACATATTGCAACGGGCTTCTTAGCAGATTACAACCCAAAAGTGTTAAAAGGTTCAATTTTAGCCCAAAAACATAATATTTTAGTCCAAAAGCCCAAAAGCCCAAAATCATTTCGGGATTCCCGATTTGTCCCGAAATCCCGAAACTATTTCGGGATTCCCGAAAATTGGGATTCCCGAAAATTTGGTTTGGGATCGGTATTGAAATTGGGATTCCCGAAATTTTTGGTTTGGGAATCGGGACAAGGGTTTCGGTATGGGATCCCATACCGAACCACCCCTACATGAGACCACCTAAAGCCTTTGTAGCGAGAGGTAAACCCTTGCATTTCTTCACAATATCCTTACTAATATCTTCAAATGCCTTAGACTCATCTACTTCTATATCAGCAAACGCCATGTGATTGAAGATTGATAAACAATAATGTAAGTTTTGCGCTCGTCTCTCCTTGTCGATAGACAATCCAGGGCTATGAGCAGTCGTCTTTCGTTCTCATGATGGTGTTCAGTCATATAGATTCCTTGGACTAGCTTGCAAGCCCAATGATTTGATCTTCTCATCTTTAGTGGGCTCTCTCTAACCCATCTATTGGGCACAATAACAACTACATATTCTAATGGGTATACAAGAATCTTTTCTTAACATGATTGAAAATCAAACGAACTCAGATAAAATAAAAAGAAAAAAAAAACTAAAGGCAAAAATAATAAGAGAAAAAAAAAACTGAAGCACAAACAACTTCATACATGTCCTAACTTTTTGGTAATCTTTTGCTTCATTTTGAATTTTTGAGTGTCAAAACTTACCCACCAGGCAACTCATGTAAGCGACCACATGTAAATCAAACGACGATGATAAAGGTGTCGTTTATGAAGTAACGAGAAGGCGTGAGAACGCAGTGACGTGGACAGACAGTTGGAATGTGAGACTGCGTGCAGACGATCCGATTCCCACCTTCGTCTCCCAACGGTGACCTCCACGCCAACCCAAACTCACAGAAATATAAGAATAATCCGACTCCGAAAAACGCAGAAAAATAAAAAATCCGATACGATACAAACCGATTTAACCCGAATCTGAAAATGGAAGTCAAATTCAAAGACGAAAAGAAATTGGAGCAGCGATTGGAGGAGCTCCACAAGGACGTTTCCAAGAAGCAGAAGTTCGAGGACGCCGTCACCGCTCTTAATTCGCTGCTCCGGGACCACTACTCCTCCGCTTCTCCGTCGCTGAGGGAACTGGACTATGGCGTCGTTTGCCGGGTCGCCACCGTGTTGAAGACCCGGTACACCTCCCCGGGTTTCTGGGCTGCTGGACTCGCTCTCTTTCAGCTCTCCCATTCCCTCGTTTCCGACCCTTCCGAGAAGGCCCATTTGCTCGCTTGCATCGATGAGGCACGACAGGTCGTTCATCAGGAAAATGACCCCCGGCAGCCGTCGTCTTCTCCAAATCAAAGGTATGAAAGATCTCCCTTTTCTGAAAATTACAGAAACCGTTGTTCTTTTTATTGATTTTTGAAATTTTCATGTAATTATTTTGGAAATTTTTCTGAAAAACCCAAAATTTATTGTCTTTTATTGGAATTGAATTTTTGGTTTTTTAGGATATTTGTTTGAGGGAAATTTGACTGTGGGTCGGGAGCCGCCGCAGCCGCGGTGGCTGGTGCAGTCGAATCTATTGACGGCGGCCATGGCGGAGGGGTCGTCTTCTGAGTCGGGTCCTGGAATCGAAGAGAACTCGGAAGGCGCAGTGAATCTGCTTCAGTCGCTCATTGACAACCTCGACAGCGTTTTGCCGCCGGGGATTTTGGAGGACGTGAGGGCGGCTCCGAGGGTTCCCGCCTGCGAGCAAACAGGTGGTGGCCAATCTTCCGGTGATCACGATCACCGAGGAAGTGTTGAAGGAGCTCGGAGAGGACGCAGATTGCTGCATTTGTAAGGAAAACTTGGTTGTCAATGACAAAATGCCGGAGTTGCCCTGCAAGCACACTTTTCATCCTCCTTGCCTAAAGCCATGGCTGGTAATTCTAATTTTTCAACATTTCTATATTGCTAATGTATCTCATTGGTTGCGTTCAATTCGAATTTTATGTGGCTGACTGACGCGTTTTTGGGTTGTTTTGATTGTGGCAGGATGAGCACAATTCTTGTCCGATATGCCGGCATGAGCTGCAGACGGATGATCATGTGTACGAGAACTGGAAGGAGAGGGAGAAGGAGGCCGAAGAAGACAGAAAATGAGCTGCGAATGCGATTCGAGGTGGTAAATACATGTATGTTTAATGTTAGATGATGGCATTTGCTTCAACAATTGTCAAATTTGCAGCTTCATTACTATTCGAGGTGGTAAATACATGTATGTTTATTCAGTACATCACATTAAGGATGTCTATGAGTGTTTTGATGTGAGCCTGTTTTGAAGTTCTTTTAGAATTGCTAAAAGTGCTTTCGGACAACTAAAACTGTTTTAAATGCATCTGTTGTTGTGAGCTATTTGTTGAGTGTCTTTGCTTGGAACCGAAGACTTGGATGTTATATTTCAACTGAAGTACTGGCCTTTTTCTTTAGACAAGGCCAAGGTGGTAGAGAGCTAACCACTTTTTTCAGTTTCACGGCTTTTATTCCAGGTCGCCCAACTATACTATACACCAAACTTCGTCTTAATAGTGGTTAATTCGTGTACTTGCGAACATTTTTCTTTTGTTGGAAAGAAGTATGATATTCATTAACGTTATGGAAGAATATGTACAAGAGACGATGGGGTGCACCACTGAAAGGGACCTCAGTAAAAACATTGTTGGGGATTTCAACCCAATCGAAGGAGAAAGAACTCTACACGCCAAAATTACATAGTATGACTATCCTTTACAAGGAGATGTACAATCATGTAAGCTCCTCAAACCAAACTACGTCTATGTGAAATGCAGTTAGCTCCCCTGTTCACGTGATTGTATTTGACCTATTGAAAAATGGCCATGAAGGATCATTAAGCGCAGGTCCAAGCAATGAGGAGTCCAGAGGAATGCTTTGAGGAATCACTTTCCAATGCCTGCAACTTCTCATGGCTTAGGTGAAGATGATCAAAATTTGTGGGGAAGCTTCAGTAGTGGTATGTTGATGGTCGACATCACGCTTTTAGGCTCTACAGAATCCCTGAAACGATAGGTAAATTACCTACACTCAGTAACATCTCTATGACATGGTCCTAGAATTAAATTTTCCTAAGAAACAACCAAATAATGTATATTAAAGCCAAACAACAAACCTTATGAGAAATCTGAAGGTAACCTCAATTGACCCTCTTTAATTTGGCTCACCTCTGCTCCAAGTCTTACTATTTTCTGCGAAAACTTAAGCAACTAAGATAAGAAAATTATGCGCCATGCAAATTTGATATTGAATTTGGTACGTACGTATGAATAGTTACTAAAAAATGCTTCATAAATCAGTATATATAAAAAGGAAAGAAAATAACCTTTCAAAGAAGATTAATAGATATGCCTAGCTCGCGAGTCACCACTTGATCGACGTTGTTCATGTCCTTTGAAGATTATCTGAATTCTGAAAAAAGAAAAATAAGAAAAATAAACAAATATGATGATAGCATACATACATGTGTAAATAAGATAGATAGAGCTCAATTACCTTAAGGATTATAAGATTTTGATGTTTGGGATGTGAGAAATCTTGGGCCGCTCATCTCCACTGTCTTGATTATAGCGCTCTGAAAGACTCTGACAATCCTCAATGATAAGTTCCTGCAGTGGTGTTTTCCAGAGGAAGTCTGGCAGTGTTTTTATGCCTTTAGAGTAATGAATTTCTAAAGAGGAAAGGCATGGCATGATTGAAATTTCAGAATCCTCTTTGTTCCACCCTTCCACGCCTACTTCCCACTCTTCCAACGCTAACATATTGAAGATATTAAGTTCTTTCAACTTTGGGAAAAATGAGGATGATGATGATTTCAATGACGACTCATCTTCGTCGACTATTCCCAAAAATTCACCACCAATCTTTTTCACCTTATCCATTCCATTCAAAGTCAGCTTTTCAAGGTGGGGCAATTTCCCAAGAGGAGGCAAAAACTGACATTCACTCCATTGAAATAGATAGATGATTCTTAAGTTGTGCAAAGACATGATCCAATTGGGACAGGTGGTGCTTGAATGATAAGAAATATAGATAGATTCCAGATTTTCGTGCGGTCGTAGCCCATTCAGTATTTCTACAGTGCTTCTTGTCTGCTTGTATTGAACATCCTCAGAATCAATTTCGAGATGAAAAGAGTTTCTTCCATGTCCCACAACTGTGCTTTCTCAAGCTCTCTCTCATCTTTCACATTCCCCTTCAATTTTATGTTGAGACTGCCCTCATGGTTCAAGACTCTCAGATCTCCCACTTGTAATGCTGCTCTGTTCTCATCCTCACCACAAACCACAACACACGCATCAATTCTTTTCAATTTTTTTAATCTCCGAATCCCTTTTGGCAAGTACTCCAGCTTATCACATTTCTCAACATACAGGTGCTTTAAGCTAATCAACTTTCCCATGTTATCAGGTAATTTTTCAAATGACCTGCAATAACAAAGGCGCAAGGTATACAAATTGTACAACTCACAGATACCATCCGGCAATATATCTTCAAATCACGATTCCATGACAAATCAATATGCCTCAAATGTATCAATTCACCAATTTCCTTTGGGACTTCACTTATGCCACTCCAACTCAAATTTAATGTCCTAAGACATTTCAATTGTAGAATAAAGTTTGAGTCTATCTTAGCAATGGATGAACCAAAATATGAGAGTGAACGTAGGTTTTTGCAATTGTAATATGCATTAGAAGGTGGGAGTGGCAGTGACTTCACCACGTTTCGACCTAAAGGTTAAGGTCAAATGACGAACCTTTTCACCCAAACCCTCTATTTCACTGTCAACATCCTCAGTGATCAAACATTCGTTCCTTGGCGAGAGATTGCACAAAGTCATGAACAATATCATGCATTTTGCAACCTGTAATTTTACCACTAACACTGTCTTTCTCCAAATCTTGAAAAAAAGACCGTGCTACTAAGTTATCAAAAATTGCTTGACCAACTTCTCCCTCATCTTTATTCCCTTTTGAATTAAGATAATCTTGTGCCATCCAAAGATTAATCAATTTCATCCCTCTCAAACTCATAATCTTTTAGGAAAATTAGCACAATACAAAAGGCAACATTTGACTGCTGGGGCCAAATCATAATAACTTATAAAAAGTGGTTGAAAAACTTCTTGCTCCACCTCTTCTCGATCCCATATCTTACTATTCAAGACATCTAGTCATTCCCTCCGTGTTTTATTATTGTACATGAGACTACCTAAATGCTTTTGCAGCGAGAGGTAAGCCCTTGCATTTCTTCACAATATCCCTTACTAATATCTTCAAATGCCTTGGACTCTTCTACTTCTGTATCATCAAACGCCATGCGATTGAAAGATTGATAAACAATATTTCTTCCCTCAACCCTCCCAAATTGATCATTTCATATTTTGCTCTCATCATATCAACGACCTCATGCTTTCGTGTGGTCACCAAAATTTCTACTACCAGAGCACCACTTTTGGATTAGTGGTGCCCTTAATTTTTCCCACTTTTCACGGTCGTGGGTCCACACATCATCTAAGACAAGGAGAAACCTTTTGCCCTCGATGGATGTTGACATATGTTGCAAGACATGATCCAACTCATTTGAGTTTGGGGCACTATCACCGCATATAGCTTTGGCAATCTTAATCTCATCAAAAGGATCCGAGACACAAACCCACGCTCTCTTTTCAAAATAGGCTTTAACCTTGTCATCATTATAAGCTAGTTGGGCTAGAGTTGTTTTTCCCATTCCCCCCATCCCTAGAATAGGGATGATAAGGAGCCCCCTCCGATCTTCTCCACCATCACTCAACAACTTTGTTTTCAGAATGTCTTTTTCCTCATCTCGACCAAATACCTCTGACTGGACGACAATAGACGAAGTCTTCTGCCGTTCAGGTAATTGTTGAATGCCTCTTTCTGTGTGTAGAAACCCATACCTTTTACTTTGCTCATCAATCTTAGTTAGCCTACCATTCAGATCTTTTATCCTACTCGCAATGTCATGGCGAGAAATCAACTCTTTGGCTTTGCCAAAACAAAAGCAGCAAGGGGAGACAGAGACAGAGAGAATTACCTTCATCTTCTCAGGAACAGGAGCGTTTTCACCTTCTCGTTCTTGCTTCTCAACCTGTTGTCTCAGAATGTCAGTGTTCCACTCGTCCAGCACGTCCACCATCTGGAAGGATATGTCTTTGAGCTGTTCCAACCAGTTCCTCACGCTGGCGTCCTTGACTTGCCTTTGCTCTGCATCTTCGAGAACGGCTTGAATAGCTCTGAGATTGCGAGCAAATTCTTCAACATCTTGCTTGGCCTTCAAAACAAGTTTCACCTCTCCGCCAACGTACTCGTAAACTGTTGAAGCCAGCAGATCCAGTAGCGTGGAAATGATCGCTTCAGCCATTTTTTCAGCCTCCGCAAAATAGAAGAAATGATGTAGAAGAAATGCAGAATGGTTTGTATCGTTGCCTCTCTTGTATCCAGCTTGTATGATTATTCCAAGTCAATCAAGTCAATTAAAGTAAAGTGAGTAGTTGGTGTCCTGTCATGTTCTGTGTAGGCCAACTCCAACTCACACCGCAGAAATAAAGTAGTATGTGTGAGAAGCAAACAAAAAAAATTCAAGACTTGATTACCCTACCATTTATAAAAGACAAGCGTTCAATTATTACTTGGTTAATTTGCATTCACATACGGGCGGAGTTTATGTATCTATGACCTGGTTTGTATATACATTTAAAATGATTAAAAACGTTTTTTTGTGAAAATATCTTTAGAATCAATCATTACTTAAAATGAAAGTAAATTTTAGAAAGTGATTCTTAGAAGAAGCATATAATTAGTACTTCTTGTAGAAAGCATTTTAAGCACTTTTGGAGTCAAAAAAATATTTTCTCTAAAAACACGTTCAGTCATTTTAAAAGTATATTCAAATGAATCATATATCGACACCACTCATAGTTATTTGTTTATCAATAAAATTCTGCTTGTCGTTTCTGATGAAAACCCAAGCTATGTTTTTAGTTTATACCTTTTACCTTAATGGTCTTTATCTCTTTTTTCTTATGTAAATTTTCAGCTGGAGCATTGCCAAGCTTGGTATTGTACGTCTTCTTTATTTGTTGGTTGGGTCGTGCAACTTTTCGCATGGGGTTTCGGTTGTAATAAGTAGTGAAAGTTTGAATTAGTTTGGTTTAATTGATTTTACATATAATATCTTAAAACTTAAAATAATTTAACGACAATTTATGGGAGGTTGAGCATCACTCTTAGTTGGGAGAAGTAAAGATACACTAATAGTTTATTGATATTGTTATTCACTTGCTGGTGAAAAGTCTTGTAAGTTCGAATATATTAAGTAACGAATTTGATATTAATTTGTTATTTGATCACTTAGTGTAAATATATCATTATATAAAGAATGTATAAATATATTAGATATAAGATCAATTAAACAACTTTCCTGTTTTGAGATAATGAGCAAGCCTATTTTAAGTAAGCGGGTATATTTTTTTAATTCTTCTAAATATGGTGCCAGATGCACCATCCATTTTTTATATTTTCTTTTCTTTTCCCTTTTTATTTTTTGCACATGGTGCCAGATGCACTATCCATTTTTTATATTTTCTTTTCTTTTTCCTTTTTTTTTTTTGCACATGGTGCGAGATGCACAATCCATTTTTTATATTTTCTTTTCTTTTCCATTTTTTATATTTTCTTTTCTTTTCCTTTTTTTTTTTGCACATGATGCCAGATGCACAATCCATTTTTTATATTTTCTTTTCTTTTCCCTTTTTTTTTTGCACATGGTGCGCACCATCCATTTTTTATATTTTCCTTTCTTTTCCCTTTTTGTTTTTGCACATGGTGCCAGATGCACCATCCATTTTTTATATTTTCCTTTCTTTTCCCTGTTTTTTTTGCACATGGTGCCAGATGCACCATCACTCTTTTACATTATTATTGTACATTTTTTTCTTTGCTTTCGGTGGTGTTGATCCAGCATTCATTTTTTTTTTTTATATATTTCTTCTGTATAAATTTGGGTGATGGGTAGAGGAATTTGCAGGGAGTGGAGCAAGGATGAAGACGGACCGAGAGCTGGAATCAAGCTGGGTGGTAGGCCTGGCAATTTCTGACACGACCCGATAACCCGACACGAAATTAACAGGTGTTCGGGTCGACACGATAACGAAACGGGTCGTTATCGGGTAACCCGATAAGCACCTATTAAGATAACGGGTTGGTTCGGGTATACACGTGGGTAACACGATACACGATAAGCAGAATATTAATTTAATAATTTTATAACCCTAAAAAAATACTATAATTATATATATATTAATTTAACAATTTTATACCCCTAAAAACTATAATAATTATATATATATATATATTAATATTAAATTAACTCAAATAAGTATACCCCAAAATATTAACTGTACTAGTTATATATATATATATATATATATTAAATTTTAAATTAAATTTTATACCCCTAAAAACTATAATAATTATACATACAAAATAAATAGATTTAAATCTACTTAATAAATAAATATATATACACACACACACCCCATTAAACTTCATGGGATACGAATTATACGAAACTAATTTCAACGATCCAACCATCAAACTTGTTTGTATATGCTTCGAGATCGCATCAGCAAAAAATTACAAAAAACAAACATTCACATATCAAGTAACGAGACAAAACTTTTCGACGGTTATAAACGAAAAATCACGATCTAACGGTTATTTTAACTCCGATTTTGATGATTTTTTACAGCTACACTCCTTGACCATATATGAATACAATGAATAAATTCGATCTTCAATTTAAAATATTTACACTAGGGGATACCACAAATCTTATGTTATACTTGATGAAAGTATGAATAAACTTTTAAGTGTTAGTGAATCTATTGTTTTGATGGGATACGCATTCTACGAAACTAGTTTCAACGATCCAATTGTCAAACATGTTTGTATATACTTCGAGATCGCATACGCCAAAAATTGCAAAAAACAAACATTCAGAGATCAAGTAACGAGACAAAACTTTTCAACGGTTATAAACGACAAATCACGATTTAACGGTTATTTTAACCCCAATTTTGATAATTTTTTACAGCTACACACCTTGACCATATATGAATACAATGAATGAATTCGATCTTCAATTTAAAATATTTACACTAGTGGATACCACAAAATCTTATGTTATACTTGATGAAAGTATGAATAAACTCTTAAGTATTAGTGAATCTATTGTTTTGATGGGATACGCATTATATGAAATTAGTTTCAACGATCCAACCGTCACACTTGTTTATATATACTTTGAGATCGCATACGCCAAAAAGTGAAAAAAAACAAACATTCAGAGATCAAGTAACAGGACAAAACTTTTCGACGGTTATAAAGGAAAAATCACGATTTAACGGTTATTTTAACTCCGATTTTGATAATTTTTTACAACTACACTCCTTGACCATATATGAATACAATGAATGGATTCGATCTTCAATTTAAAATATTTACACTAGTGGATACCACAAAATCTTATGTTATACTTAATGAAAATATTAATAAACTCTTAAGTGTTAGTGAATTTATTATTTTGATGAGATACGCATTTTTAGAAACTAGTTTCAACGATCCAACCGTCAAACTTGTTTGTATATGCTTCGAGATCGCATATGCCAAAAATTGCAAAAAACAAACATTCAGAGATCAAGTAACGGGACAAAACTTTTCGACGGTTATAAACGACAAATCACGATTTAACGGTTATTTTAACTCCGATTTTGATGATTTTTTACATCTACACTCCTTGACCCTATATGAATACAATGAATGAATTCGATCTTCAATTTAAAATATTTACACTAGTGGATACCACAAAATCTTATGTTATACTTGATGAAAGTTTGAATAAACTCTTAAGTATTAGTGAATCTATTGTTTTGATAGGATACGCATTATACGAAACTAGTTTCAACGATCCAACCGTCAAATATGTTTGTATATGCTTCGAGATCGCATTCGCCAAAAATTGTAAAAAACAAACATTCAGAGATCAAGTAACAGGATAAAACTTTTCGACGGTTATAGACGAAAAATCACGATTTAACGGTTATTTTAACTCCGATTTTGATAATTTTTTACAACTACACTCCTTGACCCTATATGAATAAAAATGAATGAATTCAATCTTCAATTTAAAATATTTACACTAGTGGATACCACAAAATCTTATGTTATACTTAATGAAAATATTAATAAACTCTTAAGTGTTAGTGAATCTATTGTTTTGATGAGATACGCATTTTGCAAAACTAATTTCAACGATCCAACCGTCAAACTTTATATGCTTTGAGATCGCATACGCCAAAAATTGCAAAAAACAAACATTCAGAGATCAAGTAATGGGACAAAACTTTTCGACGGTTATAAACGAAAAATCACGATTTAACGGTTATTTTAACTCCAATTTTGATGATTTTTTACAGCTACACTCCTTGACCCTATATAAATTCAACATGCCACTTCAAAGTTGGTGCCGCTGAAGGAGCAAGGGGAGCATCAAAGGCGCGAGTCTGTCATCAACTTGACCTCGTTGGGGGCACCGAAGCATGATGCTGAGGCACACAAGATGACATCCCAAAGCAGCCAACGACGTTCTTCGTCAGCATCCTGGATGTCTAAAGGAAAGTCACGTCTATTCGTTGCACAAGTCATGACCATCGGCGTTACCTCCATCAAAGAACAACTGGCTCAAATGAATGAAGCAATTGCAAGGCTAACACAGATTGTGGAAGAAAAAGACTTGCAAATCTCTGCACTCGTCAGCCGACTGGAGCCACAGGACGACGAAAACCCCAACCCAGAAGATGATCCACTAAAAAGAGGAGCTACACTCCAATTTTGATGATTGTGGAAGAAAAAAATTAATTGACAAATGACGAGATTTACAAAAATTAACTTTATAACATATATTTTATTATCTAATACTTGTCATAATAAGTAATTGTGAGTCACAACTTAAAATTGACCTCGTTAGAAATATAAATATCGTAGTTGTAATCATGTGAGCTGGACTTGATACATATTGTCTCATAATGTTCATGTGTAATAGTTGAGAATTGAATAATTGATGGGGATTTAAGAAATCATCAGACCCCATTCAACAAAGAAAGAAAGAAAAAGACAACAAAGAAAGAAAGGAAAAGAAGGGGCTCTAAGACAAGGAAAGACATAAAAGAAAGAAAAGAGCAACTTATGGACCAACTGTCACGCATTTTCCTTTAAGAAAAAAAAAATGTTTAGGCAGTTAAGGCCCGTTTAGTATCTTACTAATTTTTTTTTTTAAATTAATTTCAAAAATATTCTTTGAAAAATCATTTCTTATAGTTTTTTTAAAAAGACTCAAAGACTTTTTTAGTTTAAAATTTAAAATTATTTTTAAATCTTAGCAATTAAAGAAACAAGAAAGGGAGAGACG